CTCAGGAGCATCTGAGATCTGGCTCCATGGCATATGTCATCAGTTTCACTCAAATAAACTCTTATAAAAATTCTCCACAGGGGGGAAAAAAGAATGTATGTTAAGAGAATGTGACATTAATACAGCATTCTAGCTGGATTCCTTGCCAATCTCTCTTGGCTCTAAACCTTCTCACACATTTTTACCTAACTATTTTTCCTCAATATTTTTGTTGGTATCTCTAAAACCTAAAATTAAGATGAGATAAAAATGTGTGGATATCTCAGGCATTATTAATCAGGTGCTCTTTCAACTTAATAATCTTTAAATATTTGTTCACCACTGATTTAAGAAACATGGGCAGAGTATGGATAAAGAATATCCAGAGATGGTAGGCTTCAACCTTTCTTTCATGGTTCTGAGCATTATACTGTACTCAGCAAATGAAAAGCCTGCAGTTAACTAGATCCATCTTCCTTAGAATACCATTTGCCAGTCATCTTTTGCACTTGAACTTGATCTGGTAGGAGGGAGTTTCACTCTGTATCTCAAGTGGCTTTCCAGAGCATTCCTTCCAAAGATATAAAATATGTTGCCTGAAAGAAGATCTGAAAAATACAATTGTCCTCTCTATATTTCCAGTAATGTTTTAACGCCCATTATAGACTGCAGCCAAGACATCTCACTCCTTATTCTGGCTTTGCTTACAATAGTTCCACTACTGTCAGTACTATCAAATTTAATTTGGAAGGCAGTAACACCCTGATTTCTAATCCTCTTTCTAAAATCATATGTATAGCTTTAGCCATGTCACTTCTAACATTTCTGAGCCTTACTACCTCATTTATAAAATGTAGATAATAATAAACACCTATCAATATCACAAGGAGAGTGTTCTATTGGAAAGATTTAGTAGGAGATAGGAGATGGGTTCAAATGAATAAACACCTATCAATTTCACATGGAGAGTGTTCTATTGAAAAGATTTACTAGGAGATAGGAGATGGGTTAGAATGAAGGGCATTGGCAGAGAAGATGGAAAGGGAACAGAAACAGGTACTTCTATTTCACTCTTTATGAAAGTACTTAGCACCCTGGTCCTAAAACTTGTGGAATAAAAGCTTAAAGATGAGAAATTCTTTACACTAATGTTATTATTTCTGTGAACTGGAAAAGACTGCCAAGATTTGAGCAGCAGACCAGGTCACAATCACAATTGTTCAGTGGGAACATAGTTTGAGGACCACAGGCTATCCAAATACTAGGTTTAATACCTGTGGGAATGAAATAAAGTCTTATTAAATCAATGTTTAATTCAAGACAGAGAAAATCCCAAGAATACATGGGAGTTCTCTCTGCAGAAAAAAAAATCCATCAATTCTGGAAAAGGAGGTGCTCAAAAAAAGCCATTGTACCTGCTGTGGCTACAAAACACTTGTGTAAAATGGCTCCTTTTTCTTACATATTCATTCTCCAGTTGCCCAAGATGCTCATTTCCACCCCTTTGTGACACTCTTACCACCTTCTTTCAGCCCTCTTTGATTAACTTTACCTGCCTTTGCAAGAATGACAAGAAGAGAAAGAAGAAGCTCATGAGATGTAATTTTGCAAGTCCATAAAATCCTAAGAACAGAAGGAACTGCACATTATTTTAAGTAGAAGAAACAAGTGGTTCTCAAATCAAAAACATAAAAAAAAGGACTCAAATTAAGGATGGTAGGTCTTGGGACTCATAAGGACAGGGTACAGGACAACACAGCTTGGCAGAAATCTTTCCACGGAATTGACTGTTTAACATGCTTTTAGTTAACTATTCATTCAGTCTCTTTCCTAGTCATTCTCCTAACAAATACAATCATCTTCCTAAAACGTTCTTGTATCTTTTCCTGCCTCTTTTTCTCTCATACATTCTCCCATTTATTTTATACACATATTTTAAATGCACACCAGTGATTCTGATCTCGTTTCTGGATCACAACTACCAAGTCCCAATGAAAAAAGAAAAGATCTGCTGCCAGGAAATCAATAAATTCTATAAACAATAGCTATTACTATTTTTACAATGGATGACTGTTAAAACAGTAATAAGCATGCAACACACTAGAAAGCATAATAGAAAATATTACTGGGGAAGCAGTAGGGACAGAGATGGGACGGACAAAGGTGGAAACGATGATTCTTCTTCATTTGGACTTAAACGCGGTAGTTTACCAGGGAAAGAAATGCAGAGAAGTGCATCCCAGGCAGAGAGAACTGCATAATAAAGCATAAAGTATATAACCTGTTTGGAAATTAACAAAATAGTTACAGCACAGAGATTAAATATGAAGGGTGAGAGTTATAACTTGTATTTACTCAGCAGTTACTATGTATCAGGTACTATAGCAATCTTCACAAAACTCGTGAGATAGATATTATAATCCTCATTTGACAGAAGAAAATCAAGGCTTGGAAAGGCTAAGCAACTTGCCGGTGGATGCTAAACGGTAGAGGTTAGGGGCCAATTCCACTATCTCTGACTCCAAAGATTATGCTCATGGAAAAGACTGCCAAGAATGGTGAAGTCTCTTATATAGCAGGCCAAAGATTTGGTCATTTATTAAGGAAAAAAAGTGGTAAACATTAAAAGCTTAAAGACTTGACAGGTCACATTTGTGTTTTCAAGTAATGCTGGTAAAGATGTGCAGATTAGCAGAATAAGAGGAAGTCGGAGAAAATAGATGCAAAAAAACTAAAAGATGTCGCGCAACATAAGCTCTTTTTTTTTTTATAATGTTACTTTACTGGGTTAAGCCCTTATTCTAGACCGGGTTTACCAACGTCCTGGAGCGCATAGACCTTGCTGAGAGTCGAGCACCCCACCCCCACCGCCATCCCCACCCCAGGCCCAGGCTTAAGAGCATCGCAGGCGCAAAAGCACCGCACCCTGCCTCTCCAAGACTCGAGGCCTCGTCTCCTCACCCGAGCTGAGATCCAACGGGCACCACGGCTGCAGGCCGCTCCCAAGACCCGGCAGCGCCACCATGATCACACAGAAACCTGCTCGCCTCCGCTGTGGTCAACTTTCAAAGCTCGCTCCCGCGCGCGCTCCAAGTCGTTCCTGCGGACCAGTCACAACATGTAGAATTTCCCACCGACCAATCACCGCGCCCAGCCGGGTATCATTCCATTAACCAATCAGCAGGGTCTTCTGCCGCATGCGCAAAGAATGGGGCGGGCTAAGGGCTGTAGACTAAGCCAAGATTCCATGAGGTGGTTTTTTTTTTTAGCTTTCCCTTTAAAGTAGAGGTTAAGAAATATGTTAGATTCTAATAGTGCCTTTGCTGCCTCGTTTTTCTTAAATAGGAGTACACTTCAAAGAGAATTTGAGACAAGATACTTCCTGTAATAATTGTCACCTTTGCCCCCTGTCAAGTGACATTTCGCGTCACTTCAAAAGGCTACCTTTCCTCCGTCAAACAGCAATCGAACGTTGTACATATCCGAATGTGGATGGTAGACTAACGCTTATTGAACTAAAACAATAAAGGAAAAGCAGGGGGTGAAAGCATTCAGAAACAACATATAAAGATTTTTTTAATTTTACGGGATTTGTGGGCCCTAATTTTGGAAAGAGGCCGTCACTACCATGTCAACTAAGGGAAAGACAGGCCGCCCTTCTCCCACGGCACATGCGCAGTGAGAACCTCCCGGTGGTCTGGTGGCGAACGGCACAGTGGCAGAGGCATGCGCATGCGCACGGCGTCTTCGGCGCTCCGGCGCTAGAGACCGCCTCCCTCTCCCCCGTCCCCCGCCCGGAGCCACCGGAGCATCTCTGGGGCGTCGTACCGCCAGAGGCTGGGCAGGCTTGCTCCGCCGCTCCGCTCCGCACCGCACCCGGTGGGTAGCGGCGGCCGGTACGCCTGGGCGCTGCACTGCCCGCTTTGAGTTCCATTTTGCAGCCCTCGCCCTTCGCCGCAGCCGGCTGCTCGTGCTCTCTCGGGAAAGGCGGGCCGCGGTGCATCCGTGCTGCGGGCGCCCAGCCGGCCCTGCCCTGCCCTGCCTTCCAGGTAGAGCGGGCAGTCGTACCTCGCCCCCCGCCTGGCCGCGCCTCCAGCCCGCTGATCTTCTCTTAGGGCAGCCCCAAGCCCCGAAGAGCCCGGCCTGCCCGGCCGGCAGCGAAATGAGCTTCTTCGGCTTCGGACAGAGTGTGGAGGTAGAGATCGTGCTGAGCGATGCGGAGAGTAGGAAGCGGGCTGAGCACAAGACGGAGGACGGGAAGAAGGAGAAGTATTTCCTCTTCTACGATGGAGAGACGGTCTCCGGGAAGGTGAGCCTTGCACTCAAGCACCCCAACAAGCGGCTGGAGCATCAGGGCATCAAGATCGAGTTCATCGGGCAGATCGGTGAGTCGACGCCCAGGGCCTCCCTCCACGGGCCAGGCGCTCACTCGGGGCGAGGGGCGGTGGGGGCGGGGGCCCGGGCGGCTCCGGTGAGGCCTGTTGAAGCCCTTCGTCCCCTGCGGTCTAAGGCCCGCCCGCCCTTGCGTTACAGTCTTCCCTGCCAAAAGGGAAAGCGCGCCGCGAGGGGTGGGGGCGCCGAGAGCACTGGGGGCGTCCCTGCTGCGCCTCGTCGTGGGGGGTACCTTGCTCTGGATTGCCCCAGTTGTCCCATCACCATGCCGCTCAGCTTGGCTTCCTCCCTCTAGGATTTCGGAGTGAGATGCCCCTGCCTTAGCCTGCAGGTGGGTTTGTTAGGAGACCGTTCTTCCATGACTGCTTTTGCCTTCCTCAGGCCCAAGTTAAGCCGGTCCTCTGTGCCTTGCTTAGGTCGCACTCTTATCCACCCCCTGTTTCTTCTAGATGTGATGTGGGAGAAATTGGCTCATCAGTGTCTCACATCTCACCGTATCTCTGAACTTGCCTGTCCTTATACATGTTTTGAGAAAGAAGTCCTGTCTTTAGACCCAGTCTTTCTGTCCATAGTGTGTGTTTCTAAGACTTCTTTGTTAGAATGTTAGTTTTCAATGGACTTATTTTATTCTTAAAGACAAAGAAATGATGCTCCTAAGACTAAAGTTAAATGATGAAAATGTCTTAGTGTTCCGACAGCCTTTAAACATGATTATTAGTTAGAACTAGATTGTAAAAGGCAGTAACAATACGGGAGATTTTGGAAGCCAGTCAAATCACAGGTGTGTCCAATTCTAACACTATTGGCGTCTTGTTTGTTAAAACTCTCAGGTACTTCTGAAATAAATGGTATTTGTCATTAGTTCAGGAGTAGATTCACAGGAAATACCCTTGTGGGTTGAAAAACCTCTGACAGAATTCACACCTTATACCACATTCTGCATGTATAACTTTTTAGGGACTTCCTGGGAAAGCTTGTTAAATGCTCTCTCATGTCTTCAGAGTTCAGCAAAGAATCTGTTCTCCCCCCTTTTACAGAGGCTGGAAACCTGCGGCCTGTCTCTGTTTGCCTCTGGCATTTAAGAGAATGAAATCAGGTTGAAGACTGGCTGATCCTAGAGGAAACTTTTTGTTGTTATTTCAAATCCAGACTATGAGTGGCCTTTTATGTACTGGAAGGGGGTCTAAAGAGTGAGCTTCATACCCTCTGCTTCCCTGCTTCTAGCTTTGATAGGGTTTCTGTAGAGCACGCTATTGACACTTTGGACCTGATAATCTTTTGTTGGTGTAGAATGTTTAGCAGTGTCCCCAGTCTCGACCCACCCGATACCAGAAGCACCCCCTGCCGCTGTAATCTCAAAAATGTCTTGAGATATTGCCTTATGTCCCCTGTAGGGTAAAATCCCACTGAGAGAGCCACTGAGTACATAGGATGAATCCAAAGCATTTTATGCTAAGTATAACATATAAGGTAGTCAAGAAGTCATTGCCTACTTAGAATTAGTATTTTCGAGTAGTAGTTTTAGCATTGTTGCATGAATTCTTTGACTCTGTAATACGAGTGTAGACAGGCAGGTTTAGTCTGTGCCTATACCATCGTTCCAAATGGCAGTACCTTATCAATCTGTGAAAGATAACCAGAATATCTGCTGCCCCAGCAACATTAAGTGAGCTATTCAGGGGGAAGTGGTGTTAAGCCCTTTTTCTAGTCTAACTAAAAAGGAGTTGAGGCTGCTTGCTGTACCTGCCCTGCCTGGTTTCTTATCTACTTGAATTCCAGAACAGCATCCCAGCTGAGCTTTCTCAGAACTTTGTATTGCTGCCATTGATATCTCTTCCTTGAGCCCCTAAGCACTCTGGGCTAAATTGACCTTGTGATTTAGGGACACTGTGCCCCTCTCTGGGCCCCAGCTTTCTTTCCTGAAAGGCAAGGATAACAGAATCACCTAGTGAAAATGTGATGTCAAGGGATCATGCTTCATTCAGAGTATGATGTATTGGTATCATGTACCTAAGACAGTGTGTGAACTGACCTCAGGGCACCAGAGCGAGGCGAGTGAGTAATTTTGCTGAAGTTGTGGTCTTGTGGTTTTTTTCCTTCACTGCACTTCTTGACTATGCATGAAGTGGGTGGAGCTTTGGTGAGGTTCTGAGGTCTGGCTGTATGGATGACATACAATATGGGACTTCCTATCTGGAAGTAAGAAAGTGGGTATCATTGGGTTCTGCCCACCTTCCTCACTGATTGCCATTTTAAGTCAAAATTTTTCTTTTTTTAAACCACTGTCTCTTGAATTTGGTTCTTTTTTCTCCTTCCTTTCTTCTTTCCTTCCTTCTTTCTTTCCTTCTTTTCTTGCTTCTTTTCTTCCTTCCTCCCTCCCTCCCCCCCTCCTTTCCTTTCTTCCTTCCTTCCAGGGAAGAGTTCCTTAGTTTGAAAATAAAGTGGTTTATGTAATTAACCTTCTTATCCTTATGACTATTGGGTTGTCGGAAAAGTCATGACGTGTTTTTGTGTTTTTCATAGCAAAAATGCGTCATGACTTTTCCGACAACCCAATAAATTATTTTTCCTCCTGATGAAAGTGTATTTGTCTCACCTGTGTATTCATTAGAGGGACAGCCTGGTATATGCTTGAGGATCAAGCAGACTGGGTTACATAAATTAGATACGGCTCAGATTATAATAATACAGACTTTGCTAGGGTCTTACGAGGACTATACATGAAGTGCAGGGCTTGGCTCATGTAGTTGGTACTCAGTAAAAGGAAGTTAAGTTGACCATTGTCATTTCCCTGTTAAGCTGTACCCATCAAGATGTTTCCACGGGCTAGACTTTTAAAACACTTCACCTTGCAGTCAACCCTGATTTCTGTGCAAACTCTCCATGGAGAATGTTCCCACTAGGTTAGCCTTCCCTTTGATCTGCCTGTCTTCCTCCCCACGTTGCCTTCCCAGTGTCTTCACCTGGAAGGTACAGTAGCCCAAGAAAAACCTTATGGAAGGGGCTCTGCACAGGATCCTTGCAGAGGCAGCTGTTTGGACCTCTTTGGACGTTGTCTCTCATAGTGACCCAGCCCGTGCTCCAAAAAGCTCCTATCTTGACCTTGGTTTTGGACGTAGAAAGGAAGAGGGATTACTTTTGTCCCTGGACCCTTCTAACTCTATAACTTTGGCAATCTCATCTGCAATGTTGCCTTATATTATGATGACTCCCAGTCTTCCTTTGTTCTGACCTGAACTCTTCTGAGTTCCACGCCTGTGTTGCCCACTGCCTGCTAGACATCTCCATCTGGATCCAAAACAGAAACGCTTTCTCTTTCTGCTCCAGCCCAGCTTTGCTGCTTCTCCTGTTTTTGTTTTTGTTTTCTGTTTGGTTTATGTCCTTTGGGTCCATTCAGCCTCAGAAATTTGGGAGTCATCTTAGACTCTTTATTCCTCCTTCCGTATATCCAACTGGCTTCTAAGTTTTGGTCCTCGCCAACAACTCTAACATGTCTTAAATCTGTGCTTCCTCTCCATTCCTAATGCTACTGCCTTTTTTATTTCTCCTTGTAGTAGCCTCCTAACTGGTCTTCCTACCTTTGTTTTCCTCTTCTTTCAGTTCATCTTCTGTGAGCGTGAACTGTCTAAAAGGCAATTCTAACATTGTCAGCCCCCTCCTTAAAATTTTTCTCATCGATTCCCTACTGATTAAAGGGGAAATATATATCCAACTCTTTCCTGCGCTGGCCCCTGCCTTTCTCTCCAGTTTCATCTTTCCCTAACCCTTCACCCTCATCACTTGTAGTTTCCTCAAAATATCATGTTCCTTCTAGAATCTTGGCATTTTCCCTTTGTATGTGAACATCTTTCTGCAAGGTCTGACCTTCTACCCAAGCTTTTACTCATTCTTAAAGCTCAGCAAACATGACATCCACCAGAAAGCCTTCCCTGACTTCCTCAAGCTGACTTAAGAACTTCTTCCACTATTCTGCTAGAGGCCTCATTGGTACCTCTTTTCAAGCAGGATATGACAAACTTGTTTTTTGTTATAACTTGTCTATCTCCCTCACTAAATTCTGAGTCCCTGAAAGCCAGGGACTGCCTTCAGCTCATCATCAGTTTCGTGGCTAATCTCTAGTCTCAGTGGATGGCACATAGTAGGTGTTCAATAAATATTTGCTAACTGGATACGTTTGTCAGAGCTAAGAATTTACAGAAGCTATTCTCTAAATTTTTTTTAATGTCTTTCTAGATAAACCAGAGTTATTGTAATGAAAGAAAAGGAGAGCGCAGGTTTGCTTTGCTGGTTACTGCTAAGAGGCTGGCCTCCTGCTTGTGCTTGTGCTTGAGGCATGATGAGCTGGTGCAAACCTTACTCCAGGCCACTGAGAACTAAGATGAGACACTGACTGGCCTACATCCGCTGGCGCAGAATCTTCACTGAGGGAACTAGGGTAAAGAAATGTTAAAGGTGGCTATTGGTTCACTTGCTTTTACATCTTTCTTTCATAACACCTTCTTGTGCCAAGTTGAGGCCTATTTTCCCCTGTATATAAGAAAGTAAGAGTTATCAGAGCTATGATGTTGCAACTGCTCAGATGTTGCATTTTGAGTGTTGCCCCCTGAGAGTATAATAAGGTCATATTTATTCACTTGTGTTACTTATGTTTTTTCTTTTATCCCCAGTAAGTTTTTGAGCCGCATTGGGATTCTGCCTACACCTTGTGTACTTTTTCCGATGGCTTGGTCTGTGTCCTATCAATGCCAACAAAGGTATAGTGAGGGCATCTCCTGTGTCCCTCTGGCAGCTAATGGCCCACATTTTTAGAAGAATGAAAGGTGGTATGTAAGGAGCCTTGCGGGAAGTTCTGTCATTGTTAGAAGAGACCATTTTTCAGCTGGAATCCCCTGGAGAATACTGATAGTATATGTAAGGCACAGCTGGGCCACCTTGGTGACTAATGGGGTTAAATAAACCAAAGATAATTAGAGGATTGGACTTGCAGAGGAGAACAGACATGAATACCCGTGCACTCCAAAGCCAAATAGATAATATCTGGATTTATAAAAAAGTTTTAAAAAGTAGTGCCACTGGATGTATCTGAACCCATTAGCACCAATCAAGCCTGTACTTCTACTCCAGAGGCTTTCTGTATTTTAGTTCATTCACCCATGAAATGCTAAGTAAAAGACACATTTGAGATTAAATAGATTGATTCTAGCCTATTAATAAGTTGTTTCGGGGGCTTGGAACAGAGCTGCACCTGGCTGGCTATGGACAGCCCAGGGGCAGACTGCCCACGCAGGTTTACCAGGATCCAGAGACTGAATGGATGTAGCCAAATCTCAACTGGGTTGCCAGTCAGCAAACAGTGGCTGGGAAAATCAGGGTAAAGAGGAGGCTCTTTTGAGGTCTTTTTGCCCTTGCTAACTTAGTTTCTTCCAAGACTGCCCTGGATCCTGAACCAAGCAGCAGCAAGTCTCTGCGTCTTCCACACGATGACCCTATGCTTCACAACTGGCTCAGTTTCCTTCCAAAGTGGCAAATTCACTCCTCAGCCGTTGGTGGCAAGTTTCACCATGAAAACATCCTGACTACAAAACTCATTTCCTTCTGTGGTAGGAGGCTGAAGACAGGAAAGTTACCTTAACCGGCACACTTAGTCAGCCCCAACTTTTAGCTTGAAATACGTAGTCCCTGAGGGCTTGGAGGTCAGGAAGAGCTAGGCATGACTTGTGGCTGCATCTTTGGGCTAGAATAGAGGCAGTTTACTGTCTCTTTAGAACCCAAACCTCCTGCAAGAATAGCCTTGGATTTTCTGTTTTAGTTTATGAGAGGAAACCAAACTTGCTGGCAAATAGCAAAGTATGGCTGCTGTTTCTGCCTCATTGCCCCACAGTGTTTGCAAAAGTGTTGCAAACGGCTTAAATTATAAATGAAAAAGCCCAGTCCAGCCTGACTCAGACTACGTACTAGGCACTCTTCCATGACATGTGGTGCAGGAGCTTGTATTAACAAGTCCAGGAGGAAAAGCCAGAGGGAGAACGTGACGCTATGCAGGAAAGGACCTCTCCTGCCAGAGGTCCTGGCCGAAGCCAGGTTCCCCTGCTGAGTCAGGCGGACCGTTGCTAGGATCCTCGGATGCTGGCAGCCTGAGTACTCTCTGAGCACGCTCGGATCATTCTCTGTTTTGTTTCTCATGTTGCCTTTGGGCTGTGTGATCACGTTTGTGTATTTTTCCATCCTTCTTTTCCCATCTTTCTCTTGACTCTGGGATTTCCCACTTAAAGATCATAGACTCGGGGGCCTTGCTCTGCCTGCTTTTGTCTCCTGAAACATATGGCCAGAATCCAGTGCTTGGAAACTTAGACACCAGGTTCCCCAGGGGAGGGGTAGTGCCACATGGGAGCCAGGCCCGTCAAGAAGGGCTTATGTAACAGGGGACCAGCAGGAGTGGGTAGAGGAGCCCTTGTCGTAGGCTGGCCAGGGGCTCTGCTTCTACCCAGTCACTGCATGTCCGTTTATTGAGGGACACAATTAGTGGATTTTAAAATGAGTAAGGAGTCGCTCACCTTTCCCTCTCCTTTCCCCCCATAGTTTGCAGCTGTCATCTCCCATTTAGTGGCTTTGTGGATTATCACTCACTACCTAGAATACTTCCCACTGCTGATTCCATTTAGTGTTTGGGACGGAAGGTGGGTTGTTTGTAATATATGAGGGATCAAAGTGTGACTACTTAGGAAATCAGCAACAACGGTAAGCGCAGAATACAATGGAAATTCACACTGATATAGCAACACTAGTTTGGGATTAACCATAATTGCTGCCACCTTCAAGAGTTGGATAAATCATAGGACAGAGGCCACTCTGCTTTAGAATGCCTCCCTGTCTGGGGGAAAACAGTTGCCTGTGGAATAGATTTGGCAGGGCCAAATAGCAAGGGGTTGATTTTTGCACTCAGACTAAAAGCCCTGTTGAAACCATTTTCTCCTGGGCACGGTTCTCCCGCAGAGCAGGACTGGACACTATATTGGCTGTGGCAGGGCAAGAGAGCTGGTTTCTTCGGCCCAAGATGATGTTGATCCTAATTGGGGCTCAGACCCTGTCCTGTCTGGGGTGGACCCAGAGCAGACACACCTCAGACCTGCGATTCCTGATGTTTAGGTATCCCTAAGAGAGGTCGCCTGCTGTACTCTGAAGATCCGGGACCAGGCCTAGTGGGTTGTTGTCCCAGATACTCCTCTCTGTGGACCTGTCTCTTTATCCCCAAGCAGCAAAAGCGACAAGTGCACTCTGCCTGCTCCATTTTCCCAGTTGGTCTATCCTACTTCAGGTTGCAGCCTAGCATAGCACTGGAGCCCAGAAATGCCCAGGGGGTGGAACCTTGACTGTGATGTGGCCACGTATAGTCACAGTCAGTATTAAATGCCCCCCCACTGCGCAGCAAGGGGTGGGGATGAAGGGGAGGATGCTGGGAAACTGGGCATATAGGCTTTATTCCTAAATACCATGTATATAGCAAAAGTTAACACTTAAATAGAGCACACACAGGCATAAAATACTATAGGGTAATACAATAAATGGCATGAACCTGTGATAAAGAAATACTAAAACTATTTCCAGGGGAGGATAACTTGAGAGCTATGCTCCTCAAAGTGTGGTCCCTGATCCAGCAGGACCAGCACCCCTGGGAGCTTGTTAGAAATGTAAATTCTCAGCTCCTCTCCCCACCCCACCCCACCCATTGAACCGAATGCAAGGGGTGGGGCCCAGTGGTCTGTGTTTTCACAAGCCCTCCAAGTTATTCTGATGTACACTAAAGTTTGAGAACCACTGCTTTAGATGGAGGGAGTAACACTAAAACTTCTGTGTCACGTTGGCCACATGGAATCCTTTTTGAGGGATAGTAGCAGCTAATGGCTAATATTTAAGTGTTTGCTATATCGTAAGTACTATTCTAAGTCCTATGTCTTCATTGCCTCCTTTAATTTTCACAAAACTTTATGAAGTGGGTTGTTTTACCCCTGTTTTACTAGGTCACAGAAATAGAGACAGTCCAGTAGGAGTACCTGCTCTAATCTCAGCTCTGCGGCCAACTCTGTGACTCTACGCCAGCCAGTCATTTAACCATGCTGTGCCTCAGTTTCTTTATCTCTTATGTGGGTGATAAGGCCTGTCTTAGCTATCTTAAAAGATTATTATAAGTATGATATGATTAAATACCTGCAAATATGCTTTAAAAGTTAGAAATATGTTTTTAAATGTATTTAAAGAAATGCGGTGTTTTGATAGCAGTTTCCCTGATGTATGCTTTATTAGGGTGCTGCCCTGATGTCCTGCAGCAGGATTATATTGAGTTCTTACTGGGCCACAGCATTTTTCTATAAAACGGAAGAGTGTGTGGACAAAAGGGAGGTGGAGGGAGACCAGTATATGGGGAATGCAGTGAAGGAGCAAACGAGAGGGAGTCAACAACAAGGTCTCTTTGTGGGGAAGGTCTTTCAGAAGAGGGATTCCTGCAGCCTGGAGCCCCTTGCTAGGCCCCGTGTAGCTCGGGGTCTGCTAGAAAAAGCTGATGCTCTCTCTCCAGAACTATACTACGACCGCGGGAACCACCATGAATTTGTGTCCCTGGTGAAGGACTTGGCCCGGCCTGGAGAAATTACCCAGTCGCAGGCCTTCGACTTTGAATTCACCCACGTGGAGAAGCCGTATGAGTCCTACACCGGGCAAAATGTGAAGCTCCGGTAAGTTGTGCCCCACCTTGCCCCAGAAGCTGCCCTACATGAACCCGGACCTGAAGCTGTCCACATTTC